CTCTATGGTGCTCTAGGTCGCTCTAGGTTGCTGTAGGTTTGCTCTGGGTCTCTCTAGGTTGCTCTAGATTCGCTCTTGGTCTCTCTAGGTTGCTCTAGGTTGATCTAAGTTTACTCTTGGTCTCTCTACATCGCTCTATGGTTGCTCTCTGTGGTTGCTCTTAGGTTGCTCTTAGTCGCTCAAGGTCACTTTTGGTTGCTCTGGGTCGCTCTAGGTCACTCTAGGTTTTCTCTAGGTTGCTCTTTTTTTTGGAACATAAAAAGTTCCAGGTATTTATATTTTCCTCTTTTTGATAACATGAAAACAGAAAGAACATTTTAAGCCTTAAACACACAGATTCCTCCAGCTTGTGTTGGATGACAGTTGAACTTCATTCCCAGCATTGACGCTCTCTGTTTGTGTTTGTTCTTCGAGGATGTTGAGCTGGGTGGTCAAGGTGGTTCCCCAGCTGCCTCAGCCTTCAATAGTTGAAGAGCAGAAAGAGGCCCCGCCCCCTGCTTCAGCCCCGCCCCTTCCCACGACCACGCCGCCTGTCACTGTAAGTCAAACCCCCTTTATCATTCACGTTTTTGTTATTTTCATTTTGTCTTTTTCAGCCGATGTAAAAACGTTGTTTAAGTTTATTAACATGAGCGTCTTCTACAGTGTCTTTTTTGATACAACTGGGAGATGCCAATGTCAAAAACTTAACTTTGATGTTCAATTAATTTGTAGATATTTTGATATTTCTTGCTTTTATATGAATCCTACACATAGTTGTGAAGTCAATGAATTCAGAAATAGGATTTTAAAATATATAATTTACATATGAAATGTATTTCAGTTCAACAAATAAATATTAAATGATGTATAATATTTTTATCTACGTTTTATGTTTTCAACAGGAAAAGAAAGTAAAATTTCAAGATGAGTGCAAAAACGAGGGTAAGACATGAACACAGTGAAACTGATGTGGTTCAGTTTGTTTGTTGTTAAACAGAAACATTAATCATTGTTTTATTCACAGCTCCTAAAGCGGCCAAACTCAATCAGCAGGCAGCAGAGGAGAACAGGTGAGTTATACTGATATCCACAATCATAAGACACAATGATAAGAAACCAAAGTCATGATAGTTTACTAAAACCAAAGTCATGATAGTTTA